GTCATAAAGTCCAAAACGTGTCCAGAAGAGTACTTCACTTACAATATTCTTTTGTTTTATGCACTGATACATAATCTTTCATATCAGCATTGCAATGCATCTAATTATTTGTATGTGTTTTCTGTATGCAGATTTCTATTCACTTTTGTGATTTTAACGTGTGAACAGGACTTTTATTTTGGTCCGGCGATGTGACGTTGTAAGGCTGCGCCGCATTTCGCCGCTCTCCAGCGTCTGCGATCAGGCTGTAGAAAGGTTTGTGCTTTGAAGCTTTTAGTGTTTAATTGTTTTTAATGAATAAAAAGTGTTATATTTTTTATACTAATTATTTAATATATTATTATTATAATATATATCATTATTTAATTACTCTAACGCTTTATGTAAAATTAATTAACGTTATGTTTACGGCGCGTCTTAGTTTGAATCAGTTCATTGTAAACACGAATTCGGTCACTGGCAAGTGCTGATGCGAGAAACGGAAACGCAGCTTTCGAAACTGAATAAATTCAACTAATTTATTTATTTATTTATTCACTGTTTTTCTTAACGCCAAATGTTAACGTCATCTTCTGGTCAAAGTGGAGTAACTTAAATGCAATGAATTATAACATGTCAAACCGCAGGACACTGCTACAGTTTTATTTGTATTTATCTACTTTTGTTTATCTATCTGACAACTGCATCTTCATTAAGGAGGTATGATATATATTTAGTTATAAAGTTGATCATTTATAGTCTATCAACCACTTTGTACTGTAGAAAATAGCATTTAGGCTTGGGTAGCTTATAAGAGGCTACAGAATACGTCTCCTGTCTGTCTGTCCATCCACACAAGATCTTAAAGGGGTCATATGATGCTTTTTTAAAGATCATTATTTGGTGTATTTGGTGTAACAGAATATGTTGACATGCTTTAATGTTCAAAAAACACATTATTTTTCAAATACTGTACATTATTGTAGGTCCTCTATGCCCCGCCTCTCTCAAACGCTTCGTTTTCTACAA